TCTTATAGCTCTACACACCGCATGATGATATGAATGGACAATGTTTCCTGCCATTATTGACAAAGACTGAAAAGAACTGCTGACTTCTCTGTGTTGCAGCCTACGGTTGAAATGGCCTGTGGCCGGTTTAAAAGGCTCGCCATCTGAAATTCAGACGGGGCGTCTCGAATTTTTGCCTCGGCACCTGCCAGTTTCAAGTCCTCTGCCTCCGTTCTGGGATGGCTGTGTCTGTCACAAACTATCTGTCTCTCTGCCCGTCTTCCCGCTGCTGTTTGTCTGTGGGCTCTGCAGACTAGTCCGTCTGTGCTGTGCTGTCAGTCTGTCTGGCTGGCTGCCATTCTCTGCAGTGTAGAGTGACTCATTCTTAGGACAATGGAGACAGTTTGTAAAGCCACACTGGAGCGTACACTTCCTCCGGATGTGCAAGAGGATGCCATTCATAACAAAGCCCGTACTGTCTGCCTGTCAGCTACTGCCCCGTGTATGTATGTGAGACCGAGAAATAGGGGAAGCAGAAGAGAGAAAAAAAAAAGGAGAACAGGGACACAGACAGAACGAGAAACCTGAATGTGGAGAGGAGAAAGGAGAGGGACAGGGCAGACAGCGGTGGCGGCGGCGACTGGTGATTGATATCAGAGATCTGGCACTGCCACCTGATCCAGCCAGCCAGCCTTCAGCAGCACTGAACTCACTGAACTCCCGGAGCCAAGATGGCTGCCTCACTGCACTGCACTGCTCTGCACTGCACCCAATGAACCCCACAGCGATGGGATGTACACAGTAGAGCACACGGAGTCCCCAAAGGGATTAAACGGTAGAGGAAGCGCACTCTGGAAAGAATGAACTACCGGGGAGATCTGATGGTTTTCTTTTCACCTTCATGCCTCACAGGATCACAGAGAGATTGAAAGACAGGAAAAAATCATTTTTAGAGGCAGAATATCTACAGGAGGCAGCTCCTGACTGTTTCCATATCAGTCAAGTTAAAGCAGAAATCAGTATATTACACAGATGCTTGTGACTTATTTGGAATACGGGAACTAAAGACACACATTTAAAAACCGTCCTCTGTTGAGGGCTTTAGATACCGAATAGGAATCTTTATTCAAGTTACTGACACTCAGTCTAATTAATCCCTCAGGTGTTTCTGATGATGTCTGTGGTCGATAAAGGCCATTGTGAAATTCGCTCAAAAAGATTTTTATCCTTCGAGTGGCCAAAAACGTCTCAGCTGTAATAAGAAGAGTACAGCCTTCACAACATCCTTTGCTCGGTTTCCGATGTGTGATCGCTAAAATGCTCCTCAGAGACAGAGTCATTGATCCTCCACCATTTCTAAGGGGGTCTGTAACGAGAATCACTCTCACATGGTGTTTCAGCTCTGATTAGTAACTTTACGGAAAACACCTCCGGGCGAGCGAGTGTCAAAGAGAGGAGACGGGGCTCTTCTCGTAGACTCTGCCCTCCCTCCCGGCCATCTGTTTGTGCTGTGTGGGCTGATGCCGGTGGAGGTAACACTATCCACCTCTACAGTGGCTGAGAGTGACCTCTGCGGCCCCACACAGGTCGGCAGAAGGTCAAGTCCTGGCTGCAGCGGAAATGAAGACGGGTGCAGCTCGAATTTATACAACAACTGTTAGATTCAACTAACTAAAAATAAAAAAAAGTACATTTTTGAGAAATGACCACTCTCAAAATGTCAAATACCTGTTCCTCTTAAATCTTTTTCTTTGTGTCGAGCGGTGTCATACATAATAACTGCATCAGGTCCAGACTTAAAGAAAGGATGCAGCTGATTGCATTCCACACCCTGATTCAATCAAAGGAGGAAGGAAATCAAAGTAATGGTAGTGTGTGAGTACTGACAGGCTCGGTCATCTGAGGACATACTGCACTCTACTTTGCACTGATGATGTGTCTACGCTTTGCCTCTCTGTTGCGAGATAATGTTTACCAGCTGCTAAGTGAGTTCATAAAGAATAAGTAGGGATATGCTTTTTGGCCTTCACTGTACTCTTAACTCTAGCGGAGCCTGTTTGGGTTGCATCATATTTTCTGATCTTTATCCTTTTTTTGATTTTGTCCAACAAATATTCTATTACACGTGAGCTGATGGAAAACCGGAAGAACAAATAAAAACATGAAAACTCAAAGAAAAAATACCCTAAGGGTCTGAAATTGACATTCATGACAGTCCACTAAATAAAAGGACTTTTATAGATGACTTACTTCTTCTCATTCTTTGCTTGGCATCAACAGTCTGAGTGACCTACGACCACAGATTGGTATCCAGTGGTTGATTTGATGAGGGAGTGCCATCCAGCTCCACATCTGTAATGTTTGACCAGCTGTTCTCACGTTAGCTGGCTTGTTCAATGAAAGCTCCACACTTTTAGGTCCAATCATTAAACCACCTTCATGAAACATGCAGGGGAAAGCGCTCCCCCCGTAGAGGCCGTGAACCTGAGAGCTCATTCCAGCCACTGATACGTGGTGCTTCACAGGGGCAACGTTTCCTCTTATTCAGTCACTTTGTCAATAAATCAGTCGATCACTTTTCATCATCATCATCAGACAGACGAAAAAAGTCAGCAAACACCCAACAACAAAATCATTGATTCTGGCTATTAATCACCCATTCCACTCAATTATTGACAACATACTACAACATGGAATTATCATCACAGTGCAGCCACTGGTTAGACGCTTTAGTCTTCCATCTAAAACACAAATCCAGCCATCGTAATCTCTGTAACCCTAACCCTAACCACCTATGAGGTCACATGACTTTGCGTCTGGCTCTTTTATACCAAACCGACTTTGTATTCTACGATGACTAGAGACACCAAGGCACCAAATCAATAAAACATATTCAAAGCAACTGCACTTTAGAATGAAAGATGTTTTGCATGTTTGCATTTTGAAACTACTTATGAGGGTGCTTTTTGGCAAATACAAGGCACAGCAATGGGAGCATAAAGTCAACCACCTGTCGACCTGAAATTCAGGAGGGAAATCCAAGCAATGAGTTCCACGTGATTAACAGCTAAAACAACTAAAAACCCTTTTGACATTTAGCAGGGAGTGCTACTAAAGACTGAATTACTCACAGGGACACAGATATGTGGCTGAGTGTGAAAAAATACACCCCCCTCTGAGACTCATAACATCATAAAGAGTTTTCGTGATTGTTTTAACTGAAGCTTTCGAGGCACCTAAGAGTCCAGCGGATCCTGTTACCCGGCTAATCTGTCACTCATTCAATCTCTAAGTGACTCTGTATTTAAATATTAAAAAAGGGCATTGTCCCTTCACAGAACTTTCCACAAAGGGAAAGCACGGACAAATGCAGGAGTGGACAACATATACTGCCCTGCATACCTCATTCATGTTTTCTTGATACTATGCCGCCTTTCTGTCATCTAATCAGGGTTAAAGATGTGCTCTCTGTATTTGGGCTTGTCTGCAGAGGCTCGCCACATTCCCTGATCTCACTTCCCTTTTTCATTTCAGTAAAAAAAAAGAAAGAAAAAAAAAGCTGTCTAATGACTAAGACTGCAGTCTTTGCTGTATCACGACCTGGACAGTGAGTCAGCACTCTGACCCTGCATCCCCCCCCACACACGCTAACACGCACAAAGATTTAGCATATGATGCAGACAAACATTCATATTCCTGACACAGACAAACACCCTCCCTCTCTCCCTCCCTAACCTCTCTCTCTCATGCTGACACACAGTGGCATTGCTGCGTCGTGACTGAGGGCGATGTGCCTCTCTTAAAATGCAAAAGGCGGCTGAGGCTCGCACCGGCACACAAAAAGATCCCCCTCCCTTTGTTTCAGCTGCTCGTGCCATCCTCTCTGGCTGGCTTTGCCAGTCCATGTGTCTTATTCAGAGGGATGGAGCATCCGGTCCGTGTAGTAGGCGGCAGCGTGTTCTCCTGCTGTGCTGTTGGAAGAGCACTACATTACCCAGAAAGCTACTGTCAGTTCTTCTGTGTCCATGTCACTTCCTGTTCAACAGTTTCTGTTACACATTCCTGGACACCATCACATAGTCAAGGAGAGGATGCTCATTGGCTTAAGAGTCCGGAAATCCCCCATCAAATAAAACACACACACGCACACACGTACGAAAGCACACACATATTCACATTCATATATTGTTTTGCTTCAAGAAATGAACACCAACAGACACACTATGCTATGAAACAGGGGTTTATTAAAAGAGCAAAAAATTCCCAAATCGTCTGACTTAATAGAGACAGTAGAGATATTTTTCTCGCTCCCTCCAGCCCAGCATGGCCCTGCTACAAAGTAGCTTTCACCTGTTGAAGCCAAGTTCCTGATCAGACTATAACCTGAGAACTGGGAACCAGTAGTTTTGCTAAGAGGTCATCATTACAAAATTTCCCCATTTGTCACTCGTCTGACTGTAAACAGGATATGTTGACACGGCGCCACTCAACTTCCACAGCCCCATCACACCCAGGTCAGATGACTCTGAGAGATGCCCTTTAGGACATCCTCTGAACTTAAGACCCAAGTGTGTCAAAAACCACTTCGGAGATCAGAACCAACCTGGTCTCCCAGACCGGCAGAACACTGAACCATACGAGTAACCAGCAGTCTGACAGACTGTACACACCGGTGGACGGACATGCCCATGCTCACTGCCTTTTCAGACACACCACGTAGAGCACATTTGGAGGTTTAGCAAGCACACAGCCAGCCAGGCTCAGACATATCGCTGTGGGGGCAGAAAAAGCCACATGGAGATGGAGCATTTCTGTCCCCAGATAATCAGACATCCATGTGATCACTCACACACTCAGTCGCCAAACACTTACATCCTCCAACAACCGGCACATGTGGACAGGCACGACCAGGCCCTCAGTCTAGACAAGAGGCAGAGAAGAAGAAGACAGAACGAGGAGGCACAGTGGAAGGGGGGGTGGGTGTGGGGGGGTTGGAACAGAGAGGCTGTGGATGTACTTACCCCGTTTCTGGAGCCATCCCTCTCTAACGATGGTGACATCGCTCATGGTTCCTTCACGCCGAGTCTGATGCCGCTACACGCCTGCTCCACACAGAGAGAGAGGGAGGAGGGGAGGAGAGGAGGAGAGGAGAGAAAGAGAGGGAGAGGAGGAGAGGAGGGGGGGCCGGCTCTCCCAGCCTCCGCGTCACTCTCCCTCCCTTCCTTTCCCGTTCACCCTCGAGCTCGCGCAGTCGCTCTCTCAGACCCACACAAACACGCGTGTGGATGTCTACGCCTGTGTGTCGTTTTGCTTCCTGTTGTGGCTTATCTCCCTGCCTCCCTCCCTTCTTCTTCTTCTTTTTCTCCTCCTCCTCCTCCACCTCCTCCTCCTCCTCTCGTGTTCACTCTCCAGACCTTCCTCCTCAACAGAAGTGACTCAGCCTGGAAGGAAGTGAAAGGAGAAAAAAATGAAAGAAAAAAAAAACATGAGAAAAAAAAAGCATGCATGGATTTATATTTCTCCTCCTCAACTTCCCCCCTCACACACACAAAACCCTTTCACAATAACTGACAAGACAAACAACTTGTTATTGTGAGAACAAATGCTTCCTCTGCTCTCCCCACACCCAATCTTACACCCAGTTCCTCTTTCAATACCCAACACTCTCTCTGATAAACAGGATGAATTATTGCAGCTTTTGATGAAGTAAAAAGTGACCTTGATTGCCAAAGCAATTCCTCTACCGTTGCTTCATTCATAGACTTTTTTTTTTCTTATCTGGTTCGCAGGTGTTGAGGATAAAATAAAGTCTCGCTGTCCGTGTGTCTCTGCGTGCTGAATTATTTCGTTATTGCGTGTGCATGTGTGTGCAGGCGGGTTTGTCTGCCTGTGTGGGAGGTGGGAGAGCATCTCAGGACTGTGGAGTAGAGCTTAGTTAAAAATAGCAGCAACGGCAGTTAGGGATGCTCTCACACTCTTTCTGTGTGCAAATCTCTGCACCTCTCCGGCGTCTACCTCCTCTCCGTCTGCATAGCTGCAGCGCTCACCTCGCATGCACCCTACTACACGCTATTACACAACACGCCGCGGCCCCACGCCGCTCCGCCTGAATGGAGATCAGCGGCGTAGTGGTTAAGCTGGAGCCGGAGCCCTCGAGCTGGAAATCAGTATTCAGATCAGCTCGTGTCTGCACTGCTGCAGACACTTGGAGGGACTGCAGCGTCAGAGCCAGGGCGGGAACACACCCACAGACTATTACACCCCTTAGAGTTTTTTGATGGGGGTTTTCTTTTTTTTTCGTGTCGAGGCAGCAGAATCGTGACCAACTGGAAACCAGGCAGAGAAAAAAAAAAGAAAAACGTATGCGCAACATGACAAAGGGAATATTTGCTGAGTTTGTGATTCTGAGAATGAATGAAAGGTTTATGGTTTTTCAGTCAAGTGACAATTTCTGCTCTTCTTATCAGATATGTTTGCCATTTAGGTACTTCTTTGAAAGGATTTACTGATAAACCGAGATTTATTCCATGTTTTTAGGTTTAATCTCACAACTGTTGAACTACAAAAGGCTCCCTTTGCAGATTCTTTGTCCGGTTTCCAACAACTACACGGTAGTTCAGCAACTTGAGTTCAGATTTTGGAGTACTGTTTTTTAATTCCTTTATTATTGGAAAAACATTCTAAGCCACGTTTGTCCGCCTACAGTATAAAGTTAATAGAGGTTTTCACAAGGTCTAAAAAAATGTAAATGACATTCAGCCATAGTAATCACATCCAATGGGATCAAATTCTTTTTATAGACACTATACAACAGTGGATTAAGCTTCATTGTTATTTAATGAAGCTTCAGTTAGCTTTAACCTTAATCTGGACAGACATAACCTAGATAGAACAGAAGAGAAGAAGAAGAGAGGAGAACCTGTTGCTATGGCGATGCATGTCCTGCCATGTTGAACCAACAATGACAGGAGTATCACCTGACACACAATATTTCACCTCAATCTACTTCACTCCAGTGACCGTAACAACAAGAAAAAGAAGTTAATGGACAAAGAAGCTCCTCATCATAGAAGGCATGAGGAGAAAGAGTGGAGGAGGAGAGCTCCACCCATACCAGCGATACTTTAAATCAGTTTCTGTTCGATAACAAAATGTGGACAGCAAGCTTGTGAGCTTTAACTGACATTTCCCCAAAATAAAAGCGAGTCAGGCATTTTCCCTCCATCGACAGGGAATTTATCACATAGCAAAAGTGGTTGAAATCCCAATTTACCAAAACACCACGTGAAAGTTTCCTCTCATCTGCGTTAGCGTTTGAAACTTAAATCAAGAGAGTGTTGTTCTGGTCCAGCCGTGAGTAAAACTGTCTTGGAGAAACCTGAATGGGATTTCTGCTTACAGACAAAAGGAGGAAAAACACCCTCCCAGCCTGTCTTTGAAAAACTGAAAGAAATTTGGCGAATGATCAAGACTAACACTGGACCCATTATCCTCAGCAAGGAGGTTTTCTCAAACCACTTTGAGAAAACAAGCTACAATCCTCTCCCTAAAAAAAGAGACCACGTAAAAATAACTTTCAGCTATAACTCATGCTACATTACTTAGTTTAGAAACACTGATTATTGAAAAGACATCATAGAAAAGATGAACACGACGGTAACAGAAGCAGAAAGGCTATCATTTCATTGCAAATCCACTTTAGAAGAAAAGCCATTCCCACAATCCTCTTGTCCGGATGGGATAGCACATCTTACCTCATCTCACCTCACCCCAATCAGTGGCCTCATTCAAACTCAGGCTGACATCAGCTCCAGCAAATCCTCCTTCTTTAATGAAAGCCAGCCTTTGGCAGCACCCAAAATGTTACAGCATGTGCTCACAGGATGTGTTTCGGCCTCAACCTCTTTTAATCGAATGCAAAGTTGATAAGCCACCCTGTGCCTATTCCAACGCCGTACACGGATCAGGCGGCTTTCAGGTGTGTTTTCCTGAACACAAAAGGCACAAAGCCGTTTGCACCTGAGTCCCGGGGCCACATGGAGGTCTGCGTGTCGGGGAGAGCTGGCGTGGGAGACCACGCAACTCTGCACGCTGACGCTGTCACGCCTCTGATTCTGTCACGCCATTCAGCCGTTGAAAATTGCACACCCAAACAGAGTGAAACTGTGCAATACAGCAGAGACGAGTGACAGTGGCATAACCAGGATCTCCTTTGAAGCATTAGGACATCTTTGGGAAAATGGATAGCTGGTGTTTCCACTAACTGAGCAGGTATCGGTATGTGATTCTCACTTTAGTTGGTAAAGACACAAAGAAAAGGCCACATTAAACTTCTAAATTGCAGGCATTTGCTGTAAATAATGCATATTTTCAAAAAACGACTGAGATAATCATAAATGAGGAAACCATGGAAATAACAACTTACAGCTCTGTGCAGTAGGTTAGAGGCTACATTGGTTGCAATGCAAACTCTAGTTCAAACAACTTTTCTTAGTTTAGGGGTGGCAAAAATGCCACTGCAAACAAAAACAGGAACTCAGGGTCATATGCCTTTCTACCAAACACCATCAACAACATGACTCTGAAAGTTGTCAGTCTCTGACATGAGCTGGTACAGAAAAAACAACAACACACGTGGTCACCATGGCAGCCAAATGAGGCCATTCCTATTGGTGGTCATCTCTCGCTCTCTCACTGCCACAGAAAGCCACCAAAACAGGTGAAACCCCCCCAAAAAAACATCAGCAGGAGCCCCGTCGTGGGCCCACCTGGGTGACAGAATGGATGTGACAGCTCAGAGGTTGCTCTTTGCTGCTCGGGAGATCATGAATGATTTAGTCCGGAGCCATCACTGCAACGCCTACGTCACGCTGACGGCTGCAGGTAAAAACGGAAGCATTTTTGCACGCGACGTTGAGGAAAATAGGTTATCTTTTTTTTCTCTCTTTAAAGAGTCCTTAATGCCACCGGCACGCAGACTCCAGGAAAACATTCCTCCAAAGAGTCCCGTGGTCCGCAGCACAACAACGTTATCACAACAAACCCGCAGCTACGAGCTAGCTGTGGCGTGGGGTCGCGTGGGTCGCCCGGCGAGCTTGCGAGAGTTACCTGTGGCGACAGGTGTGGTGGTATCCCCGCGCACCTGCTCCTCGGAAGAAAAAAAAAACTCCCGGGTTACTTCTTCTCTGCCTTCCTTCCTAAGCGAGTCATGCAAAGCTACGCGGAGCCGCGGGCGAAGCTAAGCCAGGCAAAGCTCGCTGTTGACGTTTCAAGCCGGGCAGAAATAATCGTTTGGAGCCGCTTCAAAAGGATTTCCGAGAGGCTGCCAGCGGCAGCGACCGTTACCGCAGCCAACGGTTGTTTTGACTAGCTGGAAAACTAGTGACGTCACGCAAAGGAGCATCAAGCCCCTTTGCACCACTCCTCCGTCTCCGCAGACAAAAAACGGCCACGACAATTTTTGGACGGTGCTCACCTTCCTGCCGTGTCCTCCCGCTTTCGATTTTAATGGTTTGTTCTCGGCATGAGATTTTCCTCCACTGTGCACTTCTCTCATCATCCCATTCCGACATCCCGTGGTGCTCTGCCGGCTAGTGAGTCAAGTATCGCGAGAATTAGGAGTTAAGGAGGTTTATCTGCGTGATAACTGGGTCTTCTGATTACAGCACGCTGCCTACATTATGTCATGCAGTGAAGATTTGTGGCTGGTGGATTAAGAGCGTAAGTAAGAGTAGCTGGCCGGTCACAATGGCAAACAAAGTGAGTAAGAGCAGCTATATTCAATATCTGAAACTAAAAGCTTTTCAGAAAAAAAAAAAGTGCATAATGTAGTTGTCTGAATTTGCACCACATCAGACATTTGTTTCTAATCTGCAAAAAGTTACTTAATCAAAGATTGAACACTTTTAGTAAAGTATACCTAAATAAAACTCAGAACTCAGTGAATTTATATTTAGAAACAATGGCACCTGGACAGTGGAGTGAATTTCTCTTTTGTTCAACTTTCATTAAATCTATGGACCTTTCTGTTTATCCATGTTTTTATTGGGTCTAATTCTGCTTGTCCC